CAACGAGATGGATTGGCCAAGTGGCAGCATTGATGGACTCAAAACGTGGCAACAGTAGTGAGGTTGGCCTAGGATCGGACAGTGTTTCATTCTGCTGTGCATAAGGTTGCTATGAGTCGGTATCAACTCAATGGCACCTAACAACAACAACATACATACATATAAGGAGCTCTGGTAGCATAGTGGTTATGAATTGGGCTGCTAATCTCACGGTCAGAAGTTCAAAACTACCAGCTGTTCCACAGGAGAAATATGAGGCTTTCTGTCCCATAAAGATTTACAGCCTTGGAAACTTTTACAGGGTCGCTATGAGTCGGAACAAACTCCACGGCACATGACAACAAGAACAATGCATACCTATATGAGAGGCCTTCAAACTTCAAAAAGTTCTTGGAAACATGGAATTAAAAGACAGTTTAAGTTTTCCTATGAAATTTTTTTAATCCCCTGATATACCTGCACACGTTTTTGCTTGTTTTTACTATTGTTTCAGAATTATTGATACCATATCAATTATCATCCGATTCTTTTTGTGTGTACTTTTTTAGTACCACTATTTTATCTAACTGTATAAGCGTCACCCTCCATGAGTCATATATATATATATAAAGAGAGAGAGAGTGAGCCCCCTAGTGTGTTGCTGTACGAAAAGCACTGAACTGCTAACCACAGGGTCAGTGGTTCAAACACACCAGCTGTTCCTCAGAATCCCTATGAGTTGGAACTGACTCCATGGCACTTAACAACAATACATATATATATATATATATATGGAGTTGGCACTGCAAGAATGTAAATGCTGAGGGTGAGTCTGAGTTCATTCAGAGTAGAATCATGGCATGCCTCAGGATTGTGGGAGAGTCTGTTTTGGGGCTTCAGTCTTTGTGGCACTGAGTAAGGATACCTGTGAAGACCTCTTTGCTATAGCTTCTCATGGAACAAATATGATAGCATAGATTTAGCCACTGTAGTATACGACATGGCGATGGCTTTCCTCAATTTATTACCATCACAAAAATTTTAAGTATTATTTTCATCATTCAGTTTCATGCACTAATGACTCAAATTTTAGTTTTCTATTTGGTATTACTATGTTGTTGTTGTTGTTAAGTGCCATCAAGTTGGTTCTAACTCATAGCAACAATATTCAGGGTTTCTGAGGAATGGTAGTGCGTTTCAGCTACCGAACTTGTGGTTCAAACCGACCTTGCAGGTGGGTGCTTATCCTACAGCGCCACACGGGGACCTTTGTGTTATCTCTCCTCTTTCCACTGTTGTCAGGTCTCTTAGGTAATATTGAAAACATCAATAATTAAAATGATTTGGAGGTTTCCAAGATTTATAATTCCAGGAAGAAAATAAATAAAGAGGTTTCCAATATACACTTTGAATTAGGAGATCTCTGAATACCAGCATCTTAAAAAAGACGTTGAAAAAAATAAATGTGTTAGTGAGAGGTAGAGGAAGAGAGAATCCCCCTTTTGAGTTTTTCACGAGGGTCCTCCTTGAGGTAAGATGAGGGTGCCATACTGCGGAAAGGGTGACTCCTTTGGAAAGGATTATAGGCAGTCTCAAAGTGCTGTCTCTGCCAAGCCTGAGATCTTCAATAACTCCTTCAAGAGGCTCAAAATAGGAGTGGGGCCCCCAGTCTCCTTGCATGGGTATTTGATCGTTCTGTACTAGAGAAATCCCATATATCTCAGTTGGATGGTTTGAAAGTCTTGACCAGTTTTTCCAATTAAATTTAGTGTCATGATAATTAGATTAAGGTATCTTGACTTTTTATCTTATTCCTAACATGTCAGCTTTTCTTTTCCTCTAAATATTGGAATCTTGGCCTTTATGCAGTTTTATGGTGGAAAAGAAAGATGGTGAGTTCGGATTCAAGAGGCCCAGTTCTGAATTTGTTAGGCTATTATCTAAGCATAAATCGCTTAACCTCTCTAATACTGAGTGTCTTCATCTGTAAAGTGAAGATAGGGTTAATGTGAGGAGTAAATGAGAGAAAGTTTGTGAAGTACCTAGCATGGTGCCTGTAACAGAGTTAGTGCTCAGTTTGTGTTACGTTTTAATATTCTTATTCTTGCTATTGTGTTCTCTGTAACAGAAGTTCCTGGAAAGTTCTAGAATTCTTAGAAATAGCAAAGTAAGATTTTAAGTATTCTTCTAAAAGGCTTTATATAATACCATGTAGCCATCATCTTTATTTTAGTTGTTAGCAGGAATGGAATGAGGTCTGTAATATAAGAAATGGATATATTTCCCTCTCAGTCTTTTTGCTCATTTTCCTTCTTCTCTATTTATTTCTCAGTCTTATATCTCAGTCTCTCTCAATCTCTCTCAACAGACCGGAACTGTTCACTTTGTAAAACAGTTGCAGTTCACCAACTGGCCAGACCATGGCACTCCTGCCTCAACAGATAATTTTATTAAGTTTGTTCGTCTGGCAAGGAAGAGTCACCAGAGGGGACCCATCGTTGTTCACTGCAGTGCTGGCATAGGCCGGACTGGGGTGATGCTGTGTATGGATGTCGTGTTCTGTGCCATCGAAAAGAATTTTCTGGTAAGTGGGTAGTAAGCAGATAAACCACAGCTGTTATTAAACAGTACTTTCAATACCCTTGCAATACTTGAAGACTAAAATCAGACCTTTAAGAATCTCATGGTTAAAAGCTCATGCAGCCTAATTTGCTGCAAGTTACTTAACCTCTATGGCCTTTTGACTCTTGGGGCTGGTTGTGAAATAAATTGCGTACAGCAAATAAATGGCTGGAGGTAGAGTGTAGTATTTATTAGGTGCACAATAATATGAGTTCATTTCCCCTCACTTGTCCTCCACCCCACACCCACCACACATGTTTTTTTAGAATACTATTAGAGACTACTTGTTTTTAATGAACAGAAATACATTCCCATGAGCACACTAACTAAAGCATAAACTTTGGAGTTAATGAGAGTACCCTGGGTCTGATTGCCAATGTTGCCACATGCTTTAGGTTTTAGTGACTGTGAAAATTGCTTGTCTTCTCTCAAATCTAGTTTCTATATGTCTTTTATAGAAACTCATGAAACCAAGAGTTAGGTGGTACACCTCTCACTGTGTTGTGTGCTAGGCCCCACACATGAAGGTCACTCAATTGAATTGCAGTTTGTTCAAGTGATTATGAAATTGGGAGCTTTAATGCCTTTAGGGATACTGCCACTGATTCATGTCTCCATTAAACACTAAGCATCTATTATGTACCTAGGAATGCAAAGATTTTTTTAAACCATAATCTAGAACATCAAGAACTCACCTCCCATTGGTGACAGTTAACTATAATATAATTCATTGATTAATCCAAAGATTTTTACTGAGCACTCATGATGTGTCAGGTAGTCTTCCAGAATTTGACTATGCCAAGGAGAATAAAACTCATATAGCTCATAAAGCAATATTCCTATAGCAATATTCCTATAGCTCATAAAGCAATAAAAAAAAGTATTACAGTTAGGACAATATAATGCCAAGTAGAAGGGTAGGCAGAAAGGAGAAAGTTTTCTACTGCAGAGGAATGTCTACCTGTTTCTTCTACCCAAAGTCACCTTTATCACTCTGTGCCAAAGCTGGATATGCACAGTGATGGGTAGAAAGGGAAAACTTGGTGTCTTGCCATCAGGTATTTCCAGAGTTATTCAGGACAGAATGCCAGCAGAAATCCCATGATCTGGCTGGTTTTCAAGCTGGAGGACTGCAGCGAGAACAGACTATGTTGACTTTGTGTTTCCATCTAAATTATTCCTCCCTGAGGTTTCTGAGACGCTTCACGTTTGGGTTCAATGGGAATGAAGAGTTAGTGAAACAAAGACCGTGCTGTCAGCAACTGTGATATATACTGTAGCATTAGCCTGGACCTCGCCATGCTGTGAGAAAGAACTGTTGATTTTATCATTCTGGTTTGAAATTCTGTTCTGCCTCCTTACGCTGTGACTACTGATTAAGTTAGCTAGTTTTAATTTCCTTATGAAAGGGGAACAGTTTTAGAGTTGTCAGAAGAATCATCTTATACTTAATAAGTATTCAGTAAATGCTTTACCCTTCCGTTTTGTTCTTTCAACTGCCCTTTCACCTTGATTCCCTTGACATGTATCAACATACATTGAATATGTGTTGCAGCTGAAGTGTTAATTGTGAAGTACTGGAACTGCCTTCCTGTCTGGCAGAAGTAAGGTGGGGAAGACATCTGTTACATAACAGACTCTTGGAAAAGTGACTGTTATCCTGAGAACAAGGAATGAGCAAATCCACACTGAAGGCATTTTCTCTAGAGACAAGCTCTGCAGTTAAGTTGTCAGAACTAGTGTCAGCTCTCTGCTTTGATTCTCAGGTTTACAGAGTTGCACCACAATGGCACCAGGCAATTGAAACTGTGGCAGACTGCTTCTGGTAGTAGAAGTACACCCTCCTGCCACATCCGAGAAAGGAAAACAGTCTCCTTCTTGGACAATGGAAACTTCCTTTACTCAATATCTCAAGCAAATATCTCCTAAACTTTTACTCTTTTCCACTAAGTTTTAATCACTTCCATGAGCTAATCACTCTGAAATATGCAGATCCATTTAGGCCATTCAGGACTATTTCAGACCATATAATTGAGAATGAGGTAGAAATAGTTTGTCAAACCAAATTCAGGTTATCATGAAGAAGGAATATGAATAGGTGGTCAAGAATATAACAAATACCCTTGAAAATGCTGACGTTTTAAATAGCATTTATCTGGTGTTTCCATTAATAATGTGTTTGGTTTTTGTTGTTGTTGTTGTTTATGTGTTTTAACAGAGTGAATTTAGTAAAGATTTTTTTTTATCTATATATATACAGAAAGTAAAAAACATACTGCTATAAAGATCATAGAAACCTTTATTAAACAAAGGTATCAAAATGTGAAGCTATTTGTTTTTCAACATATCCCCTATTCTAGGCCTATGCAGGGAGCACGGTGGCTCCCTACGATAAGCACTGAATTAAGAACCAGAAGGTCCGTGGTTCAAGTCTGCCAGCTGCTCCATGGGAGAGAGATGATGTTTTCTGCTTCTTTGAAGATTTAAAGCCTCAAAACCCTATACAGGATCGCTATGAGTTGGAATCGACTCCACACAACTAAACAGCAGGCCTATACACTGCTGCAGTCATTTTTATCATCTGCTCTTTTAGCCATCTCCCAAAGAATTCTGTGCTCTTTGATTTACACCACAGTGCAATGCAGTGTTGGCATCTTGAAGTGACTCAAGTCCAGGTCTTTTAAAATGTTCTCTGAGATTGGGGAATAAAAAGGAATCTGAAGGGGCAAGTTCAAAGCTATAGGATGGGTAAGGTTTCCCAGTGAAATTCTCACAGAACAGCCCTTGCTACTTTCAAACAATGAGAAGGTACATAGTCATCATGGAAAAAAAAAATTCCTCATTGAAACTTTCTTGGATTTTTTTAGCAATGTGGTTTTCCATTTTCTTAAAACTTCTTCCTGATAAGCCCTTAAGATTGTGTTGTATCCTCTGTGAAAATCCATTAAGAGCACCCCTTTGGAGTCTCAAATACAGTCACCAGAACCTTCTGAGCTAGCTAGCATCTCTGACTTAAATTTGATTAGATCTCTGGTCGCATAGTGGATTCTGAGCGGGGCTGCTAATTGCAAGGTCAGCAAGTCTAATCCACCAGCTACTCTGTGGGAGAAAGATGGGGCTTTTTGTTCCCATCAAGAAACCTTGTGCCTGGTTATTGTGAGTCAGAATCTGTTAGGTGGCATATAACCACTAACACCATCACCTTAATGAAACTAAGGTGTATTGCTGAGAGCACTTGTCTGTAACCACCCACTAATCACAGACATGTCTTTAAACACGCATGTCTGAACTGAAACCCTACTAGCAATACTTTTGGACTTATACCCTCATTTTCTTCATCTTAATTTATTAAATAATTTGTGTATGTTTATATATGTTTTATATCATGTTGTTAAGTGTTGTCGATTTGATACCAACTTACAGTGACATTATGTAGGGTATCCAAGGAGTGGCTGGTGGGCTTGCACTGCTGACCTTGTGGTTAGTAGTCCAGTGCTTATCCTACAACTGCATACCAGGACTCCATATCACATATGGAAATTGCAAAACTATAAATACTATGTCTCATTCATTCACAATGTCTCATTGTGCCTTCTTTAGAATTAAGATGCATTTTATAATAAGCTTTTGATAGATAATATAAAGAACAACTTAATGTCAGGATTGGAGGAAGATTCATTAATAATCAGCAATATGCAGACGAAATGCTTGCAGAAAGCACAGACTTGGGACACATATTGATGAAGCTCACAGTACAGCCTTCAATATAGATTACACTTCAGTGTGTGAAAAACAAAATGGTCACAAATAGACTGATAAAAACATGATAAATGAGAAAGAAATTAAAGTTGTCAAGGATTTCATTTTTCTTGGATCCACAATCAACATCTATGGAAGTATCAGTAAAGCAATCCAAAGAAGTATATCTTTGGGCAAATTTGCTGCAAAATACCTCTAAAGTGTTGAGAAGATGTCACTTTCGAGAAAATGTCACTAAGGCACACCTGAACTGAGTTGTGATATTTTCAATAATCTCATATGCATGTGAAAACTGGATTAAGGAAGACAGAAGACTTAATGAATGTTCATTATGGTGTTGGCAAAGAATGTCAAATATACTGTGGACTGCCAGAAAAACGAACAATTCTGTCTTGGAAGAAGTACAGCCTGAATGCTCCTTAGAAGTGAGAAGGGCAAGACTTTATTGCACATACTTTAGATGTGATCAAGAGAGGCTATACCATATTTGGTAAAGTAGAGGATCATCACAAAGAAGGATGCTTTGATTTGATTAAATATAACCCACTCATAGCAAATCCTATTGGATTGAGCAGAACTACTCCATAGGGTTTCTAAGGCTATGAATCTTTATCGAAATAGATGGCCACATCTTTCTCATTCTCCCATGGAGTGTCTGGTGGGTTCAAACTGCTCACCTTTTGGTTAGTAGCTGCATGTTTTAACTGTGCCACCAAAGTGTCTTGATAAAATAGAAAAACACACTGTCTTTGAGTTGATTCCAGCTCATATCCACTCTATAGGGCAGGGTAGAACTGCTTCATAGGATTTATGAGGCTTCAAACCTTTATATGAACTGGAAACCTCATCTTTCTCCCTCAAAGCAGCTGGTGGGTTTAAACCACTGCTCTTTTGGTTAGCATTGCAGTGCTTAACTGATGGAATATAGCTGTTCAAAAATAGTAAATACATGCGTTTCCATAGAGCCAATAACTGTACACCACTAATTTAAATGTTCTTACATTTTATTTTCTATTCTTTTCAGAAATTTTGTCTACCACAGTTACTCAAAGTATGGTGTGGCACCAGAACTAATGTTTGACTGTTTGTTATCTGCAGCTAGACAAGTATATCAAAATTGAGAGTAAGCATTCATAAACTTTTATAGCAATTTGATGTTGCCATGCCATCAAAGAGCACGATCAGTGGGTTCATTTCATTAAACAAGCTACATCCCCTTGAAAGTGTTGTGAAACTCACATGAGAGCTCAGGTGATCTTAGCATCATACCAGTTCTGTGTCATTGTTCCAATTGTGACCTAGGGCATTTTATATTAATTTAAGTATCTTCACAATGATGCTGTAGGATAAGCATTGGACTGCTAACCACAAAGTTGGCAGTTCAAACCCACCAGCTTCTCCTTGGAAACCCTATACAGGGTCGTTATGAGTTGGAACCAACTTGGTGGCACTTAACAACCACAACAGCACTAAATTATTTAAATAGAAAATATAACCATTTATTTGTTTTACTGCCATTTTAATGGCTTTGATTTGTAATCAACCTTGTTTAAAAATCCTTCAAATGGGAGCAGAGTAGTTCTTACGTTGCAGAAACACCAAGAGTTTGTGCTGTGGCTTAAACATTTCCTACATAACTTTTTCCCTCTTTGGACATCTTACTTAAGAAAGCAATAACAGTTATTTGCCCAAAGTAAGAGAATCACTAAATGATGGAATGGAGTGTTGAGCCCAGATAATATGATTTTTGATTCTGTGTTACCTCATGTTTTTGTTTTAAAATTACTAATAGAGAGAATTCGCTTATTTTTTTCAACTGCTATGTAGAATCCCATCCTATGAGTGTTCTGTAATTGATGCCACAAGTGGTTAAATGCTCAGCTGTTAACCGAAAGGACAGTGATTCAAACCTGCCAACAGCTTCTCAGGAGAAAGATCTGGCAAATTGGCTTCTGTAAAAGATTTACAGTCTTGGAAACCCCATGGAGCAGTTCTACTCTGTCCTTTAGGGTAACTGTGAGTTGGAATTGTGTTGAAGACAATGTTTTTTGTTTTTATTTTTTATTTTTTTAAATTAAATGTTTTTATGTTTTTATTTTGCATTGAGTGAAAGTTTACAGGGCATATCATCAGCTTCACATTCAACCATTCATATAGCTTGTTTCATTACATTGATTATT